TTCCTGGGCCCCCTCTTCCTCCTCCTCACTGTCCTCCCACCATCCCTGTCCCTCTTCCTGCTTGCGGATCTTCCACGGTGGCCCCTGTTGCTCCCCTGCCCCGCTGCCGGGTCACTCACCGGCAGGGTCTGCGGCACCGGGCTCCCTGCCCGGCTCTTCTTAGATATCGAGGGCGTTTTCATCAGCTCGCGCTTCTTGCGGGAGAACATCGCTGGCAGCGGGCGGCCCACGCCAGCCCCAGCCCGGCGCCCCGCGGGTGCTTGGCTGCTGGCTGCTCTCCCACCCCGCTGACAACATTAGCTGGGGCAAACTGTCAGCCCAAAGCATGTGACGCCGCCTTATTTCCTCATTGGGTTTTGCAGGCGAACCCGAAACAGGAAAAGCCAAACATGCACCAGGGCGTGAGGCAGGGGGGAAGGGGCCGCTCCGGGGCCGTGGGAGGCAGCCAGCCCAGTGGTTTGGGGATGGGGGCCCCCAGGATCTCTCTCATGTGTGTGGTTGCATCCATGAATGTGCATCTGCAGCTTGTGCCAGGATCCCCAAGCCATGTAGGGAACAAAATCCCCACGTGGGAGGGACGGTCGTGGGACCTGGGGGGCTCCCAGGGCCCATTGTGGGGTGGTTCAAGAGCTGAACCTAGTCCTTTTCCAGGGAGAGCTCCCTCCGGCAGGACAGGTCGGGGCTGGGGGCTGCTGCGGGGATGTCCAGTGCCAGACCTGGACTGATGCTGTCTCGTCTGTGCCATCTACTGGCCACGGGGCCGGAAAATCCCCACGTGCTGGCAGCAGAGCCTGGGCTTCCCCGGCCAGAGCAGACGCCAGCGCTGCTCCCAGCTCCCCACGCTGCTCCGGTTGCAGCATCAGCCCCTTCCCCACTGCCAGGCCGTGTGGCGGGGCCGTGCTGGCTGCACTGGATGGGGCACTCCAGGGCCACTGGAGCCCGGCACCAATGGGCCAGGCTCCCGGTGCAGCACAAGGCTCCCGGTGCCTTTAATCCACTGCGGCGGTAAGCGGCAGCCACGGTCCAAGCACAGCATGCGGTACGTGCATGTGTGCAAGCACGTCCACACGCGTGTAGGGGTACATGCAGAACGGCAGACGTGTAAGTGGACATCACGCACACACGTGTCTGCGCGTGTCAAGTGTGCGGAGCGGTGTGTGTGCATGCACATTTCTGTGCATGTGTGTAACGACCCGCGGGGACCTGTGCGCACACCAGCGCCTGTGCATGTGCACACATGAGCGGGGTGTGCACACGCGGGTGCGCCTGAGGCCGGGCGTACACACGTGTGCGTGCGGGTGCGTGCAGGTGTGGCCATGCCCACGAGTGGGCCCACGCAGACGGGGCTG